GTTTTGCCTCCATGGAAGATGTATTTTGATGGAGCTGCACATAGAGAAGGTGTCGGAGCTGGTGTGGTCTTTGATACACCCGAAGGTCAAGTTTTGTCCTATGCTTTCACGCTTACGGAACAATGCTCCAATAATGTCGCTGAATACCAAGCACTCATTCTCGGACTTTAAATAGTTGTAGACATGAAGCAAACACGAGTTAATATTTATGGCGATTCAAAACTAATCATCAATCAAGTGCTTGGAATCTATGAAGTAAGGAAACCTGAACTACATCCTTACAACAAATATGCAAGGGCACTCATAGGATGGCTTGGTTAAGTTACAATTGAACACGTGGTGAGAAAGGAAAACAAGCAAGCTGATGCACTGGCATGGTTAGCATCAAACATGGCACATCTTGATGACGGGACTCAAGTACGGATATGTCAAAAATGGGCGATTCCTCTTTTCATCGGAGAAGATGGTGCAACCGACGAGATAATCGAGATGCCGACCACCTCGGTGTATGATTTTGAAAATGAAGATTCGAGGCAGCCGGTCATTGATTATCTCACTGATGGGAAATTACCCGAAAATCCCCACAAGAAAGTAGACTTGAGGAGGGGTTCACCGCGTTTCATCTACTATAAGGATACACTTTATCGAAGATCATTCGAGGGTGTATTCCTTAGATGTTTGGGTGGAGATGAAGTCTTACAAGCAATGGAAGAAGCACATTCAGGAGTATGTGGAGCTCATCAGTCTGGTCCTAAGCTGCACTTTCATATCAAAAGGATGGGATATTATTGGCCGACTATGGTAAAGGATTGCATGGACTATGCTAGAAGATGTCAAGCATGCCAATACCACACAAATTTCATCCATCAAGCACTGGAGCCTTTGCATCCGACAGTAGCATCATGGCCATTTGACGCTTGGGGACTTGACGTGGTTGGATCAATCACGCCTAGCTCATCAGGAGGGCATTCATACATACTAGCCGCTATGGATTGCTTCTCAAAATGGGCCGAAGCAATTGCATTGAAAGAGGTGAAGAAGGAAAATGTTGTTGATTTCATCCGAGTTCATATCATCTACCGCTTTGGCATTCCCCAATATATCTTGACGGACAATGGGAAACCATTTGACAAGTTGATGGACAAGATTTGCAAGTTATTTGATTTCAAGCAACGGAAGTCCTCTCTGTGTACTATGTTGCCGCCAATGGCCTCGCTAAAGCCTTTAACAAGACTTTGTGCAACCTGTTGAAGAAAGTAGTGTCAAGATCAAAGAGGGATTGGCACGAAAGAATGGAAGAAGCATTACGGGCATATAGAAACTGTAACACCTCGCTCCGTAGGGCCCAAGGTAGTTACTCCAACACACCCTCCAGACCTCTAGTACTGTCCTCACAAACCACCACGAGCCTTTACCGCGCACTTTGTCCTCACTCATGCACGCCCTGAGAAACTTCTCAGCGGGTCAACCATCCCAAGACTACTCCCATGCAAGCATGCTTAACTTTGGAGTTCTTGGGTGATGAGCTACCTTAAAAGGAGATGCACCTCTATTGGTATGAGTAGTACTATTAATCCGTTTACATTAAATCTCAAGTATTACAAGAACGACTTATCGAAGACCTACCCAAAGCACTCCATATTCTTTGGTGTATGGTACCGAAGCAATCCTTCCCCTTGAGCGTCAAATACCATCTTTGAGATTGGCTATTCAAGAAGGACTCACAAATGAAGAAAACGTCAAGTTGAGATTGACAGAACTCGAGGCACTTGACGAAAAGAGGTTAGAAGCTCAGCAGAACCTAGAGTGCTATCAAGCACGTTTGTCAAGATCTTTTAACAAAAGAGTTAGAATTCGCTCATTCCAAGTTGGCGATAAAGTTCTAGTTGTGAGAAGACCTATCATTATCACACGAAAAACGGGGCAAAAATTCTCACCTAAATGGGATTCTCCTTATGTTATTCAAGAAGTATATTCAAGCGGTGCCTACAAGTTGGTCGATGGAGATGGCTCAAAGATTGGCCCGGTCAATGGAAGATTTTTAAAGCTCTACTACCCGTGATATTTGGGGTATAGATATGGCCGTAACAAATGTTGACTGCTTAAACCACCAATGATGTTGTAAGTGGATAAACTGCTAAAACATCTCACTTTGTCTATGGGTGAGCACAATCATAGATACTCTTGGCCCACGAGAGTTAAAAAATGTGTACAGCAAGCTTTTGGCCCAAGAGAGTTTAAAATGTGTACGGCAAGCTCCTGACCCGCATGAGTTAAAACTGTGTACGGTCCCTTTAGATTACCAATTCAAATGGTACTTATGAACTACGTTTGACTTGATCTCCTTCACAGGAGTACGTAGGCAGCTCGAAAGTTTCATTTTTGAGTTCAGTTATAACAAAATAAATCTCAATTAAGTCATTTTGTCAAAGAGAATATAAGAAGTTTGCTTACGAAAAGGTCAAATCAACGGGAAAGGCTTAGGGAATTCTTTGATCTCCTCCTCATCGGAAGTGTATTGAGTTGAGCTTCGAACGGCATCTCCACAACGACGCCAGCATCCCAACAACGGAGCAGGTGGCGCTGACAACAGCGGCAGTGGTAATTTCTCTTGAACTTTGAACGACACCATCATCTCAACAACGGAGCAGGTGGCGTCGATGGCAGTAGCATCGATAGTACCTCTAAAGTTTTGAACAACACCATCATCTTTTTCACGATGACAAAGGGCAACACCATCGTTTAAACTCTGGCAGGACCGCTACAAGCTCCTGTCGGACCGCTACAAGCTCCTGTCGGACCGCTACAAACTCCTGCTGGACCGCTACAAGATCCCCTCCGGACCGCTACAAGCTCCCTCCGGACCGCTACAAGCTCCTGCCGAACCACTATAAGTTCCTGTCGGACCGCTACAAGCTCCCGTTGGACCGCTACAAGCTCTCGTCGGACCGCTACAAGCTCCTGCCGAACCACTACAAGCTCCCTCCAGACCGCTACAAGCTCCTTCCGGACCACTACAAGCTCCCTCAAGACCACTACAAGCTCCCGCCAGACCGCTACAAGCTATCGCCGGACCGCTACAAGCTCTTGTCAGACCGCTACAAGCTCCTGCAAGACTGCTTCAAGCTCTGGCAAGACCGCTTCAAGATCTAACAAGACTGCTTCAAGCTCTGGCAAGACCACCTCAAGCTCTGGCAAAACCACTTCAAATTCCGACAAGGCCGCTTTAAGCTCCAGCACAGTGTGGGGGGGTCTGCATGGGTTGAGGTTGGGTTACTGTTGAGGGGGACGATGAGAGGAGAGGTTCTTTGCATCTTGAGCAAGTAGGATGTCCCAGAAGGTAGCAAGATGAGCAGTAAGGAGGAATAAGATCGTACATTACCTCCTGTCGGAACCCGTGTTTACCCTATTGTATCCAGATTGAGTGAATCCGCTCTGCTGTGACGTCCATCTCCACACAAACTCTAGCCTCTGAAGGTCTGGACAGGGTGGCAGTTGCGTTGTCTAGCAGGAGCGGTTTTCCGATTAAGCTAGCGATAGATAAAAGAGCCCTGTTGTCGTGTAGGTGCACAGGCAGTCCTGTGAAGGTTAGCCAAACAGATACGAGGGTAGATTCAATACCTGGTTTGAAATCAGGTCTCCACTTCATGACCCGCATTTTAAGGCCCGAAATTAGCCAGCTTTGGTTAAGCCAGCAGCGGAGATAGTCTTCTTCCCTGTCAAAACGAATTAGAACGTGTATGCGCTCTAGTAAACCAATTGAATGGTTTCCTTTGAATCCCAGTTTCTGGAAGGTACTGCGGATGTTGACCAGTTTTGGAATTCCATAGAGGAAGGATCCAATTAGCGTGAAAGGCAGCCTTTGGGATAAGGTTGAAATGTCTTCATCTGAGAAGGCGACTCCCGGCAGCCCCTGGAATGTGGTAGGCTTCTTGACGGGTAAGGGCGGTGCAGACTGGCTGAGGGCGTCGGAGAAGAGGACCGGCGGTGGGGGTTGGCGTTTCTGTTGAGGTTTGAGTAGAGGCCTGGAGTTGGTCGTTGAAGCTGGTCTCTTGCTGTGCACCGGAATTGCTGCGGGTAGAGGCGGCCTCCCATGGGTGACTACTTCTGCGTAAGAGAGGATAGGTTGAATGGTTGAAGCGGGGATTGCAGGTGGCGTCGGCGGTTTAGGGGCTGGGGGGTTAGAGAGAAGGTGGAGCATCTCTCTCTAGATTTTGTGTGTGTATTTGTATTTGTCTTATAAAACTTATACATAGTAACTTGTAATCACATTTTTGTCCATGAATTTTTTATTAGTAATACTTTAGAAAAAACCTCTATTTTTAACATAAATCATCACTTTTCAGAGAGACAAATTCATTTTTTTAATTTGTTTATAATCTATTAGAAATAATTACATATATACGATCAAAATAAAAATTATTAACAAAAATGTGGATTCTTATATGTAGTGACTAGTGACTATAGGGATAACTTAGTCATATTAACTTTTGTTCAATTTTTATTTTAATAATATTTTTAAAAAAAAAATTATTATATTACCGTGTTTTTTATCGAATAAATACATTTTCAACATTTCTAGTCCATTGTAATGATTGTATAGCCAATGTTAGCATTAGTGGCAAGAAACCATAAATATTAAATATGAAAAGTTGATTAATTTTTGCTTAGTGACTTTGATTTGAAAATGGTTTATTTAAACAGCATACTTCTTTGTTAATTTATCTAAAACCATTTTAATATATACATCCTCCCAGATAACTTTCTGATTGGTTCTTAGAGACCTCAACTACGGGGTGTCATTTTTTTATCCATTTGGATTTTTGATAGATTGCTCGCAGATGCATTTCAACTTTTATGAAATGTATGTTGTATTCATGCAAAAAATTGAATAGAAATTTGACATCTAGTTTTTTTAGGTTTTTGAATATTTGAATAGAAACTGAATATATATTCAAACATAAAAAAATCAAAGCGAAAATGAATAGTAAATGAAAATGGATTATGAAACGAATATGAATTGGCGTGAATTTATACAAATAATAATTTGTGTGTTTGCTTCAATTCAGTTAGTTTACAATCATAGTGTGTGAACACAAAGTATATGCAAACAAGTACGTCTTGGGGAAATATATACACAAGAGAAGCGCTCAATGCAGCTTCGTTACAACAGATGTCAGCAACGCCCTGGATACAGAGGAGGAAAACATGATAACATGTTGATTATCTGGGGTTAAAAAGGGGCAAAATATCTAATACAAACACAGTGTTTATGTGTGGGAATTAGAAATATGATTACATGGTAAAAGTTAAGACCGAACTTTGTCGAGGCGTGCTCTAAGTTCTTCTAACTCCTCATCGTTGGCACCCTGTTAGAATAATAAATTACAAAATATCTGTTTGTTGATGCGAATATTCAATGAAGTATAAGAATATATGAAGAAGCATAGCGTGAATTTATCCAACTACCTCCGCATCTTCTTCTGTCGATTGCTTTAACTTTTCCTTTCTGGTAGCAAGAGGAAGCGATGCGGCAGTCTCACCAGCAATTGCAGTCAACACTTTCTCGATTTCTTCTTCAGTTTCATCTTCTATGTCTTCGGTATCCAGTGCATTGTCCACTGCATCATTCACCATCTCTTCAATCACCCCAGCCTGTCGTAATTGGAAGGGGCATTGAATTAGATGACAAATCACATGATTATAGAATTCTTACTGCTACCTAATTTCAAGAATGTTTGTTTATTCATGAATTTATTTAGCCAACTCCGTCCATCTTGCAGATGTTAATTGAGACTATTATACATGTCCGATGCAGGGACATTTATATGTTTATATTTTGGCAGCGTTGATTATTTTGGTATGAAGCAACAGTGAGTTAATGCAATTTTCAACGTGATTATCATCTTGGGTCATCTGGAAATAGTTTCTTTGTGCTTTAGTGCAAGGGTAGGGCTGCATACATCCAATTCCCCTTACCTGGGGTGGGAGCCTTTGCGGCACTGGGGTGATGATGATGATGAGCGTTGGTTATTTAAATATGGTAATAGAAACAGAACAATTTTAATGAATGTGGAATGCATGCACAATAGTAATATAAAATAAACATATATATGTCCAAATTTAGCATAGTTCAATCACATGATTTACTGTTTTAGTCAAAACTGATAATGGAAACATTTGGGATATATAGTGAGTAGGGACCAAGGGATGTGATTGGGAGGTTTTCTTTTTCTTACCTGACCTTTAAAAACAAAGCTAGAAATGTGTAAGTTTGGGAATGTTCTCCAAAATCTTTTTCTTACCTTACGTTCAACATCCTCGCAACTAAAAGATACTTGATAATAAAATAAATAAGATAAGATAAAAAGATCAAAAAGATAAAGAAGATAAATAAAAAAATGAAATCAGTCCTCCAAACGTATACTCTCCTTCCATTTCGCTCTCTCCGAAGGCATACCCTCATCCAACCTAAGTAGAGGATGATGTCATTCCTGACCCCTGTAATCCACGTTTCTTTGAGTCTTTCTCTCTCTTCCTTCTCGTCTCTTCTCCCCACCTCTCAACTAATCTAATAGGTGCATCATTTTGTCTTTTACACACATGACCACACAAACTGCAATCAAGGCTCTCGCGGCTTATCTTCATTAGGTGTTACTTCCACCTTTTGCCTAATTGTCTCATTCATCAAGACATCTTTTCTAATATGTCCACATATTCAACACAATATGTGCATCTCAATCGCACTCATCTTTTGAATGTGTTATTTCACAAACACTCTACCTCATACAATAATGCAAGTCTAACTGTTGTGGATAAAACTTACCCTTTAATCAAGACGGCACGTCTTGATTACATAGAAATCATGATGTGCTCTTTCATTTCGTCCACTTTGTTCTGATTATGGAGCCTAGGTAACAGAACATATCACTGACTAATATCTCTTTACCATCTATGATAACCTCATTGTTACCATTGCTTCTACCTCCGTTAAACTTACACTACATATACTCAATCTTATTTCAACTCAATCGGAACCCTTGTTCTCCATAGTTTATCGCCATACTTTCAACTTTACTTTAAAACCTAATCTTATGTCATCAATCAACAAAATATCATACATAATGATACATCTTCTTGAATTGACTTCGTGGGATCATCCATGACTATATCATATAAGAAAGGATTCAAAGCCGATCTTTGATGCCCTCTAATAGTAATAGGGAACTCTATAATTCTCCATACACTAATATGTACACTTGTTGTACAATCCTCATGCATATCAATGATGATGTTGATATACTTACACAATATTGTCTTTTCTAGTTACACCATCATACGCCTTTCTAAATCAATGGACATCAAATGCATATCCTTGTTCGTGACTCTATACTTCTATATAAGTTGCCTATGAAGGTGAATGACCTTAATTGTTGAGTGACCTCGCATAAAACTGAATTGATTTTTTAAAACCTCCACACTTCTTCGAAGCCTTTACCCAATCACTTGCAAAGACTAATGCAAAATATAATAGTTGGATATAAAATTAGATATGAAACTTTCTAATGCTATAAAGAACACTGAACAGTTTCATGGAAGGAATGATGATTAATTGAAAAGGCAATATGAAAGGGTCCCCATAATTGATCGCATCCTTGTAGGAGACAAGTGGAAGGAATGATGATTAATTGGAAGAATGGAGATCCATAAGGAAGATGGTGATAATTATATGCTTGACATAATACGTTGACATGGAGGTTGCCAGAAGTATAAAGTAAATCATAATAATATCACTGAATCATCAACTAAGAGCGACGTAGCCAGCACATTAAGAAATTAAAAGGGAAAGAGAGAGAAAGGACATCAAGAAGTGAAAAAGGAAAGGGTTATGAAAAAGGTTGAGTTGATAATCATTGTTTCAAATCGCGCAATGCCTGACCGCCTCAAGGCACACCTTGAAGGTTTTTGCCTATTTGCGATGGGAGGCGTATCTCAATTTAAGCAATACAGAAAAGTGAGCAATGAGCCAATGGCATCTATGGCGTACGCCCATTGCATACACAATAAGCACATCCAAAAACACACGTTTAAACAAACATTTTAAAACCAAACTCTTCTTTAGGGTCAATTTCTAGATCTGACCCTGCCCCTTGTGTGGCAAATAGTATAACACAATGCGGAATTAGGGATCTACCTTTCCTATTAAAGTAGTGATAGGAATATAAAGCAATGCACAAAACAACTACCTTGGTTGCTTCACACAAAGATTCCATTTTAAAACAACAAATTTTGTGACTACAAGCAGCCCATCACAAAAAGATTGAAAAATATATAAGTGTGCAACTAAGACTACATAACAAAGATGATAGGCTCAAACTATCTTTCCAGAGAGTACTAGAACGCCTCACTCCAATGGATTATAGAATTGGCGCTATTCATTATAAAGTGTATGAGTATGTCAAGTGCTGGCATCTAATTTAATGAAACAATTTCCCAACTTTTGGATTTGGCGCTATTCATTATGAAGTGTACAAGTGTGCCAAGTGCTTGGATCTAATTTAATGAAACAATTTTCCATGTTTAAGTGTCACCCAAATACTCCACGAATGAATATTTTTCCCCAATAAGCTTAATAGCTTAAGTAGGGATATTAGAAATTGAAGATGTCTCAGAATGCGGAAAACTGGGTCAAATATTAGCTTATGAAGTGTATAGCAGCTGTTGTTATATCAATATAATAAGATAAATGTACCTTGGTCATTTCTTTACTGAATTCCTGCATTGTACGAGCTACTTCAGGTGCCTTCATAAGATTATTCACAAGCTTCATTACTTCGGCGCTCTTAGACAAATGTCCCACTGTGCGAGCAATGGCTACAAAATATATTTAAAGATTAGTTAAGATAGTAGGTACCAAAAAGCCAAAGAAGACAGAAAAGTTTATTCAAATTATCTCACACCAACCAATTTCTTATATCACAATTTGACTACTTCAACCAACTGAATAAATCTATAACTCATCCTAAACTTCAACAGCTATCATATTAGTGCAAATCTTTCCACTACAAGCTTTGCAATACAATTAGAAGGAGACCTCCCAACTAACTAAATAGAGAAATAGGCATTTTGTACTCAATTTTCAGCTTTAATGCCTTCATGGAATTCTACACAACCTCCCTGGCATAGGATACTCCTATATCAAGTCAACTACGCTATGTATATTAACACAAGATGTGCTGTGTGTTATACCTACTGACTAATAAAAAGATAGCATCCAGCTCAAATGTGAAATTAGAAAAATGTGCTTCAAGAGATTACATTTCCAAGACGCATCATGATATGTTCCTGAAAGGCCTAAGAACGGGCCACACTTCAAACCAACAACACATAAAGTATAAACTCAGATTCTGTAACGAAGACCATACCAACACTTTCTCCAAGGTGCATGGATATTGAATTAAGCTGTGCCTTATTCTCATGCATCCTGTTCACAGTCTTTTTAGATCTCACGATTTCCTTTGCAAGTGCCTGAGATGATAGTCAATAGTTGGAGGAAAACGGAATACTTTAACTGTGGGAACATTAGGGGTCTGTTTGGAAGTCGGGAAATGCTAAGAAAACACAATAGAGAGGAAAATTTAACAGAAACTTGGAAGGAAAGATAAAACACTTGTTCAAACTTCAAACTCAATAAATTTATTTTTTATATTTATTCAAACTCATTTTATTAATATATTTCTACCACATGAAGATCAAGACATCTAAAGTGTATGTAAAGGTAAAACATAAATCATATTTCATTTTCCTTTGCACTTTGGCCGGTAAAACCAATCACAAAATGTGAAAACATCTAAAGCTTTCCTTAGGTTTTGTTTTCCTTTCCCAAGCAATCTTCGGGATCCAAAATAACTTAGATGTTCTGATGTTCATTACGGAACTAACAGTTAAACAGGTTGGAATTCCCATTGCAAGCGATAAATGTGACAACTTATTTTCAGCCTATATAATTACTACAATGAACTGCTGAGTACTGAAAATTCTAAAGTTACAATTAAAAAAGGGATTATTAGCTTATTTTATCTCAAACTATCATCAAATTCACAAATCTATCTTATTCTTTAATATTTATCAAAAAAAAGACTCAAACTTCAACTTTTTAAACAATCATGCTTTTCTTTTTTGTTTTTTCAAAATTACACATTCTTATCAATACCAATAAGATATAAGTAATACAAATTTGTAAACTTAAAACTAGAAAGAAGTTAAAAGTATGATATATAAATATGATTTTCTTCTTGAATTCTACTAATTCATCCATTGAAAGTGTAATTGTGATAAAAGTTGAAGTTTAAGTCTTTTTTTAATAAAAGTGAAAGGTTAAGATAGATTTGTGAATTTGTTGATAGTTGGAGATATATGTAGCTAATAATCCTTTAAAAAATCTAATGGGATCTGGGATCATTGCCGCTAAATGAAGACTCGAGATACTATAATCATAAAAATAAGCAAAAGGTTCAAGATCAGCAGTGACAAAGCTAGCAGCAAAAATGAAAGTACCTTAGCAGAATTCATGTCATTTCGCTTTGCAGCTTCTTTAATTGCTTTCTGTACATTCTTCTCTTCCCTCTCTATATCTGATCACATCCAATCATAAGATCCCAGTAGTTGTGGCAATGAACTTACCGGGACAAATTAGCGGGCAGAAAACTGTTACCTCTGATTTGTCGTTCGATGTTGCGACACTCCTGGCGAAGTTTACGCTGCCAATCCCTCAAAGTTTGTTGAGGGTTCGGCTTCGGCTTCAAAATGTTCATCACTTTGTCCATCTCCTTATAGTGTGTTGGCAGCAGCGTCAAATGGACTTTAAACTATGCGGGGCTGACTGCAAATGTCAATTGAGAGAGAGAATACATAGTAAGTTCCAAAGCACAAGGAACAATCATAAATAATATGAAGTATACAATAAATTCAAAAGCAATACAGAAAACATGCTAGGCTATTCAGAGAATCAAATTCAATAAGTATTGTCATTATCAATAGAGCATCCAATATCGGATGTAAAGACCTTTGTTGCTCTATTGGTTTAATAAAATGAATTGATAGTTTTCATTTTCAACATTCCTTGAGTAGTAAAGTTTCTGTTAAAATTTATAACAACAATAGCCGTAAAATTAAATCTGAAAACAGCAGTAATTTTCAGCTTCTAGATGAATACACAGTAACACAGATTTCAAGTGAATGCACATTTGCACTACTACACAAACAGACAAACCTGCAACTGAAAAACGTGATTGGTTGATATGCATAAAGCCATACCTCAATTTTCATATTGGTATATACACTAAGACATTCATATGGACAAACCTGCCATTTTTAAATAAAAACTAAACGCTTATTGACTCACATATCAACATAAATAGCCACATAGCCTTATAAATTATAATGCTATACAAAAATAGATTATCACTACATGAATATTAAGTGGGCAGTAGTTTTATTTTTGGTCTTAATCAAACCACTTTTACCAAACATAAATTTCTTGACCTCTGGAGCTAAATTGGTAGATGATGCAAAAAGCAAGGATATAGGTACTCTTTTGACTGTATTGGTTAAATACATAAACTTAATGAAAGCTTATTGCATGTAATTTACTTGTTTCCATTGCAATTTAGCATACTCATCTCCTTGAACCAATTTTAACCTTACCAAATGGGATCTAATATAACATCAATAAAAGTAGTTATATAGAATTATGAAAGTAAGTAGGGTTAAGATCTCTACAGATCCAGGGGAAACAATAAATGGAGTTCAGAACCATGGGCAGATCCAGCGTTCCAATCCAGTGGGGCCAATATTTTACTATATATAAAATACTTCAATACAGAAAAGAACAAAAGTAAAGTACAGATACAAATATCACAGATATTTTACATGAATAAGAGTTTTCATTAAATTCAAATACAAAAAACACATCATTAAAGTAAAAAACACAACTGTTCTCCAAGGGTTTTCATAGGCTTAAATCACAATTGTTCTTTAGAATTTAATGCCGAGCACATCTTATGTACTAATTTGATCGATGACCGTATTAGCTTTTCTATATGATGGTTTATGAAATTTTGAAATTTTATAATCACACCACAATTCGTTTGCACTAATATATGAGCATTTCTTTAATCGCACCGATGACAGTGGTTCCATAAAGCAATAACACTTAGGGGCTGCAAGCAATAACAGTGGCTGGTCTATGGAATTCTTTTAATCAATTAATTTGTACTTCTTGAATTATTAATTTGATTGACATTTTATGAGATAAACCAAGGATAAAGCTTTAAACCTTAACTAGCAATTTGCGTCATTTTACCTGGTTGGCTGAGTAGTGCGGCGGAATCGAGGATTCTACGGATTGCGGTTTCCTCTAGTAGGCTCGCCTCTCGTCTCTGTAACAGTCGTTGTTGCGATTCGAAGAGGCGGAAAGGTAAAGGCGTTGCTTGGCTGATTCTCTTTTGCTCCGATCTTAAGCAATAGCAGATTGGTTTATTCAATTGCCGTTTGCATCGACCGTAAGATTTAGGCTGCTTTGACTTATAAAAATTCGGGTCTTCTCCGCGCCACAAGTAATGCTAATTGCTAAGGGACCTATCTTTTAGAGTCCCACAAAATTTTCTCGTGACTTAGACACAGATATTAAGAAAGTGGAATAAAGTAGATACGTGTGATTGTGTTTGTGTAAGAAAAAAATAAAATGAATGTAGATCGTACAAATTGTCCAAAAATGATAAGTGAGAAGAATTTTTTGGGACGACCCAAAAAGAAAAGTGGAAAGAATTTTATGGGACGGAGGGAGTACTAATTAATTCTACTCGTCTCTTGGATCATTTGTGGTCAGAAAGATCATATATAAATGAAAATACAATTGTCATTTATCAAAAGTGGACAAAGTCAAAAATGTGAATTAAATGTAGAATTGATATAAAACTCATAGAATCAAAAATGAAATTCATTCCATCTTTTATCAGACCTAGACAATTTTGTCCTGATATTTTTTGGTCATGCACTCATGCCAAGTTTTTAATTATTTGAGAAAATTGTCCATACTAGGATCACAACATAACCTTCTTCCAAGAATAGGACCACGTGTTTGATTTTTCTCTAAATAGGATTAATTAATTAACCTAATTAACTGCCCTCAAGTTCTCTTGCATAACCAAAATCAGTCTGTTGATAGCGGGATCAATCTGTCGTGGTGGCAGTAGATGTTGGGTGTGTTTCGGAAAATAAAGAAAATTAATTAAAATAAATTAATTAAATAAAATGACTAAAGAAAAACAGGAAAGGAGATGAAGCAGAATTAGTCAAAGCTCGTGCAACGCACGATTTCCTTAAAACGTATTTGTTGCCTCCCACGGTGCTAGGAGCGTTGCAACAATCGTTTCCCAGGATACGATGACTACGAACTAATGTTTGAGCACACAAACAAGAGTTCCAGCATACGAGAACCAAGTATGAACACAGAAGGAAGTTTGCTGAGTAGCTTTAGGTGTTTTTAGCTCAAAAAATTCGTGAGGAATGTATTGTGCGTTGTGTTTGTTGCAAAGCACCTGCCAGCTATGTATAGGAGGATTTGTTGTGTGTTAAATGAGGTGTTAATGGACCTGAACGTTGGACTTCAATGACCAGTCCGTTGGGCATTGAATCATCCATAAACTGTCCATTTAACGTTGCATTAAAAGACAAGAACGTTGGGCATTTAATGGTTGTAACGGCTTGGAGCAGTTCTGGTGCGCGATCAGAATACCCCCATCAGAGTTGGAGCAATTCTGGTGCGCGATCAGAATACCTCCACCAGAGTTTTGGGAAAAAATAAAACGTTACGCGAAGAAACAAAAATTAGACCGTATCTTTGAATGATAGGTTTTCGGACGACATTCGTGTCCGCAGGTCGCCCGCGCACACGAGTCGCGGTTTTTCTTCTCCGTTTCGGGATTTGATCGGCACCCCCTCCCCTGCGCGTAAGAGAGAGTCTTTCCCTTTAAGAATCTTAACTCCTTAAAAGAGGCTTCCCTTTATAAGGGGGTGAAAATCCCTTGAGTTTTTCGGTGTGGGATAAAACACACTAGAAACTCACCATTTTCCCAGTTTTTCCATTTCAACGAGTGAACTTCGAGAATCAATTTCTCATTCACCCGTTATCCGTTTTAAGTGCACCATATATCGAATTGTAGCCCTTAACAAGGACAATCCGAAACCACTTTGACCCGACCCAAATCAGAAGTGGACCCCACTCAAATAATTGCCCCAAAATGACCATTTAATGCAATTTTTAACACATTTTTTCCAACAATCCCCCACATGAATGAAAATTGATTTTCGAGACTTAAAAAGACACGAAGATAGGAGGACACGTTGTGTTCACCGGATGATCCTTGCATACGGAGAGGTAGGTTTTATCCTTTGAACCTTCCGTTGTAAAGACACGTTTATTTACTGGCTGTCTAGTAGACTCGATGTCCTTGAACTATACTGCCGTCGTGTAAACATTGACTTATCTTTACACAAGAACCTTCCAACTTTGTTCCGTTCTCATGGGTGTGCCCGTTTTGGCCATGGGTCACCGTCCTGGTTCTGCAAGAGTTTCTAAAGAACTGAGCCTTTACAGTTCTCCTTTGAAGCGGCCCTCTTCTCTCTCACATAGGTGATTCTTTCACGAGTATCCCGCATACTCTTCCAATGTTATCGAGTAGATCAACATTATAGAATCATTAAACCAAACGTTTTTGCTAACCTCGTGCGGGAGTCACTGTTTTAACGAGGAGTGGGTAGGAGTCCGGGACCCCCACAGTGACCATCATTCGCTCTATAATTTAGTTGTCCCTTTTGAACCTAGGATCAACTAGGTTGGGTATCCACTATAGAACTTTTCAATTCACGGGCTTTAGTCCCATTCCTCGTGACAACTTCTCCAACAATTCTCTATCCAATGCCTTGGTTAGCGGATCCGCTATGTTATCCTTTGACTTCACGTAGTCAACAGTGATAACACCCGTTGCGAGGAGTTGTTTAATGGTGTTATGTCTACGACGAACGTGTCTAGACTTACCATTGTAGAGATTGCTCTGTGCCCTTCCAATTGCAGCTTGACAATCGCAATGTATGCATATTGGAGGGACAGGCTTCTCCCAACTTGGAATATCCTCGAGAAAATGGCGTAGCCATTCAGCCTCTTCAGTGCACTTATCCAAGGCTATTAGCTTAGACTCCATCGTGGATCTAGCTATTAACGTTTGTTTTGAGGATTTCCATGATATGGCTGCACCTCCCAAAGTGAAAACATATCCACTTGTGGACTTAGAGTCCTTTATGTCGGATATCCAACTAGCGTCGCTATACCCTTCAAGTACAGCTGGATATCTTCCATAGTGCAGTCCAAGGTTTTGGGTTTTACGTAAATACCTCAAAACCCTTATTATTGCCTTCCAGTGTTCATCACCGGGGTTGCTAGTATATCTACTTAGCTTACTAACCACAAAGGCAATATCAGGCCTGGTACAACTCATTAGATACATCAAGCTTCCAATAATCCTAGCGTATTCTACTTGAGAAATACACTCTCCACGATTTTTGGTAAGTTGTACGTTTTTATCTAATGAAGTCCTTGCCTCTTGATAATCATCCTTATTAAATTTCGTAAGGATTTTATCAACGTAATGAGATTGGCTTAGCGTAAGACCGTCAGGTCCTCTAATTATTTTAATCCCAAGGATTAAATCGGCCAGCCCCATATCCTTCATGTCAAATTTAGAATTTAACATGCTTTTGGTAGAATTAATCATTAGATTATTGATACCCACGATGAGTATGTCATCCACGTATAAACATAAAATGACATAGCCGTCTACCGTGCTTTTCACATAGACGCATTTGTCACTTTCGTTTATTTTAAACCCATTAATTAACATTGCATGATCGAACTTTTCGTGCCACTGTTTAGGGGCTTGTTTCAATCCATACAATGATTTATTTAATCTACACACTTTCCTTTCTTGGCCTGGAACACGAAAGCCCTCGGGCTGTTCCATATAGATTTCTTCGTCTATATCGCCATTTAGAAAAGCGGTTTTTACGTCCATTTGATGAACTTCCAATTTCCGCAATGCGGCAATTGCTAGTATCATCCTAATGGAATTTATTCTCGTCACAGGAAAATACGTGTCAAAGTAATCATGGCCCTCACGTTGCTTGTATCCCTTAATTACAAGTCTGGCCTTGTACTTATCGATGGAACCGTCAGGTTTCATTTTCCGTTTAAAAATCCACTTGGATCCCAAAGGTTTATTTCCCGGAGGAAGATCAACCAATTCCCATGTGTGATTTTTAAGGATAGAATCCACATCACTTTTGATGGCTTCTTTCCACATAGGACCTTCAGTAGACGTCACGGCTTCCGTATAAGTCCGTGGCTCATTTTCTACCAAACATGTTAGAAAATCCGGTTCATTTTCTACCATACATGTTAGAATATCCGATTCAACTTCTACCAGGTAGGTGAGAAAATCCGGTCCGAAGGATTTTTCAATTCTAGCACGTTTGCTACGTCTGGGTTTGGGTTCTTCTTCGGATCCCTCGCTAGTATTTTCCATAGCTACGTCAAATGTTCGTTTTGACGTGCTTGGTCCTTCGGTGGACTTGCATGGAAATACGTCTTCAAAGAATGAAGCATTCCTTGATTCAATTATTGTGTTTTTATGTACATCCGGATTATTCGAATCGTACACTAAAAACCGATACGCACTACTATTTTGTGCATATCCAATAAAAATACAATCCACCGTTTTTGGACCTATTTTTATTTTCTTAGGTGTTGGTACAAGCACCTTAGCAAGACACCCCCACACTTTTAAATATTGATAGGAAGGCCGTCTGCCTTTCCACAACTCGTACGGAGTTTTATCATATTTTTTCCGGGGAACCTTATTTAAAAGGTAATTTCTTGTCAAGATTGCTTCGCCCCACATATTTTGTGGCAAGCCCGAACTTACTAGCATCGCATTCATCATATCTTTCAATGTGCGATTCTTTCGTTCGGCAACACCGTTTGATTGAGGTGAATAGGGTGTGGTACGTTCGTGTACTATACCCACACTAGTGCAAAAGTCACCAATTGGTGCTTCATACTCACCACCTCGATCACTCCTAACCGTCTTAATCCTTCGATTAAGTTGGTTTTCCACTTCATTCTTATAAAGAATGAATTTATCGATTGCTTCGTGTTTATTTTTTAATAGATAAACGTAGCAATAGCGAGTGCTATCATCGATAAAGGTAATAAAATATTTATTACCGCCACGTGTTTGTATTGATTTAAAATCACAAACGTCACTATGAATTAATTCAAGTGGTTCCGTTTTTCTTTCAACTGATTTGAAAGACGTTTTCGTTAGTTTTGCCTCTACACAAACTTCACATTTGTGCTTCACATCAATTGTGAATTTAGGAATGTGCTCCATGTTAATTAATCTACGTATAGAATTAAAATTAACATGTCCTAGTCTACCATGCCACACATTGGAAGACTCAAGCAAGTAAGCAGAAGAGATTTTATTATTATTAAT